ATACCAACTAGGAATACTTAGTGAGACGCTATCTCCAAAAATAATACAAACAAATAAATAAGCAAATATAAATAAGGTCAGCACTTTTATAAGTTGTTGTAGCCTATCTAATACCAGGGATATTATATAATTGTATAGGTGTTAATGTAGATCGTGGAAGGTTTTATATGTTAAATGAGAAAATATTATAAACTATTCTCCAAAAGAGGAGTGATTCCTAATTTACTTATTAATTTAATAATTGAAGGATTGCAAACAAAGGATATTGTCAGTAAAGTGACTCGGTGCCAATGCACATGCTAAGATGCTACCTCATCCAAAGATTAAAATCTTGCCTTTGAGAGATCCACTTGCAAGAGCCGCAAGTTGCCAAGTCATCTGTCCAGCCAAAGTGCATTCTTCTCTCACACCTTACATCCTGCCTCCTGTTTCCCCTCCCTCCACTTCTCCCAGTTCCCCTTCCCCTATCTCCTCTCTCCATCAGATCCACTGTTCCTGTTTCCCTTCAGGAAAAAGCAGGCTTTCTGGGGACATCAACTGAACATGGCATAACATGTTGCAATAAGTTTACGCACATGCCCTCATGAAGACTGGAGAAGCAACCTAGTAGGAGGAAGAGTCCTAAAAGTAGGCAACAGAGTCAGACAGTCACCGCTTTCCACAGGGCTCCTCAAGCTCCACCTAATACTTGGCTGTGGATCTCTGCATCTGTTCTCATCAGTTGCTAGATAAAGCCTCTATGAAGATTGGGCTGGGCTCTGATCTATGACTATAGCAGAATATCATTAGGAATCATTTCATTGACTTTTTTTCCACTCCTTACACTGGAGTATAGGTACTCCGTGCTCATGGACATTTAACATTGAACTATGATGAGAAGTTTAAAATGCTTTATTATCTTTGTGAGATCTCAAAATAATATTCAGGAAATTATAGAAGATTGTGCTTACAAATTGTATTAGAATTTACTGAAAATTATTGTTTTAGAGTTTAAAAATTATATTAAGTCTTGTGGTTAAAAACTCCATCTATTTAAACTTCTGAGTAAATGTTTTGGGGATACAGTAGTTAATATGTATGATTCACAGATTCTTTGGGAAGTTGCATTTAAGAAACCATTTCTGTTGTTGAGCAGGAGAGCTTAGAAGATGCGATGAGCAAGTGATTCTTCTGTCATACTTTAATCCTAGAGGGGTTACGAAATTACACATCAGCGGTTAGAGAAATGAGGTTACTTACAGAATTCTGCTGAAACTTACAGAAAATATGACAGAGGTTTGATTTAATTCTCTCCATGTGTCACGGCTACAGATTATGGCATAAATATACTGAATATGGATGGTATAAATATACTGAATATGGTCTATAAAATATAGGATAGGACTCATTAAGCATTTTTATTCTGAAATACTTTATCAGTTATAAAGTGGGAAATTCCTGGCCTAATAAATACACAAGCGCCCATACAATTAATTCTGCTATACAGCTGCTACTCTAGTCCCGTATGTTCAATTGACTATTTGACATTTCCACTTGAATGACTTTATTATTTCATAGTAACCCATTATCTGAGATGCTGAGTCCTCGATCAGTGATATCACTTCCAAAAATCGCCTTCCCATGGAAAACGTCCACGAGCCTTTGTGACATATCTTACAGTATGGTGAATAATGACTGTTGTCTATTGAGAGTATACTTGCACACCTACCATTTTCCCGTTACCCATATCCCACACTGCACCATCTTCTTAGTTCCTACTGAAGTCCAGATTGCCTGGCTTGTGTGAATACAGTGAATTTGTGTCCTACTTTGGATTTAGTCACTAGTTCTTCAAGTCTCATTGGATACCATTTCCCCCTTTATTTGTTAGAATAAGTGTGTTGAGTTAGAATGATTAATATTTGAAGTCTTTGAGTGTACCATCCTGTGTGGGTTCTATGGTTGTGAACTATTTTCCTCTGGTCTGAATATTGGATTGCTTGCTAACCAGCCAGTTACCAAACAGCTCTTTTTTCTTAAGGAAGGCTTTATTTTTCTACTTTGAGGGTGGACTCCCTTGTGGTGGGTAATTCCTGGAAGCAGACTCTCGGCAGCTACTAGCATCAGTAGCCAGTAAGCAGAGAGCAATGAAGGTTCCTAAACGATTTATACATTATCGTTTGTCTTCTAAACTTTTATAGTCATCTGTTTTTCCTATTGATGCTTGTTAGAGGATAGGCATGATCACAGCAAAGGCTTCATGTTTCGTTCCAATCGTTCTTCATCCTGTTTTGTTTCATCAAGATACTGTCGCTTGGAAAATGTTTTGTGTCCATCCGCTCCGGCATGGTATGAGAGTGTTTCTAGTTCTTCCGTGGTTCCGATCCTCAGCAATAATTTTCCTTCCTTCTTTTTTAAAATAACATTTTTTTTATTCATTTCAAGACAGAGTCTCTCTACATAGCCCCAACTGTCCTAGAGAGCTCACTATATAGACTAGACTGGCTACAAACTCACAGAGATCCTCCTGCCTCTGCCTCCTGTGTGCTGGGATTAGAGGTACGCTACACCACACCTGGCTTCTTTTTTGCTTTATGTCGGGTTTTTTCCCCTTACCCTGTGTTTTTGCCATCTGTGGTTTTACTAAATTATTTTTCTTTCCCAAATGTCTTTTTCTGTCCCTCTGAAGTCATTAAACACCACTTTGGCAACATAGGACACATTCTATAAGGACTTTTACTACCTTTTTAGTGGTCTCAGAAACCATGGTTGAAGACTGACTCAAAGTATGATGCCAGATCCCTGTAATTGCAGTATTGAGAGGCTGAAGCGGGAGGAACAAGGCAGCCTAGTCTACATATTGAGAGTTCCACATGGCCTGACATACAGTGTGAGATCTTTTCTCAAAAAGAAAATCAGCCATTAAATAAATAAGTTATACAAGATCTTACCTCTAGTGAGCAATGGAACTAGGTTTTGTGTTGTAGGGTGTTTTAAATTCTCCCTAAAAAAATGACAAAACTATTATTTATAACTTTTTTATATCTCCTCATCTCCCATACCAGACAAAACCAAAGATGTGAATTTAAGTGCTTATCATATAGTCTGACCCCAAAGAGATAGTCTCCAAAGATTCAAAGAAAAGTTTACTAAATTTTGAAAGTTGAAGTTTTTCTATTTTTTTAGCTTTATTTAGTTTATGTTTCTATGAGTGTTTTGTGTGCATGTAAGTCTGGGTATCGTGTGCATGCCTGATGTCTGGAGCTGGCGTTCCAGATGGTTGTGAACCACCATGTGTGTGTTGGGAATCGGGGTCCTCTCAAGAGCAAAAAGTACTTTTAATCACCGAGTCGTCTCTCCAGCCCAAGTATAGGTATGTTTAGTTGGGGGGGGGTGGTGAGAGAGAGTGAGAGCATGCAGAGTTTAGAGGTCAATCTCAGGAATATCATCCACATCTTTTGAGATACCGTCTCTAATTTCTCTAATTGACCTTAACCTAGGCTGACTGGCCAGTGAGCCCCAAGGATCTGTCTGTCTGTTTTTATTTTTTTTATTTTTTATTTTTTTTTAAACTTTTTTTTATTTAACTTTATTATGTTCATTGGTGTGAAGGTGTCAGATCTCATGGAACTGCATTTTCAGACAGTTGTGAGCTGCCATGTGGGTGCTGGGAATCGAACCCGGGTCCTCTGGAAGAGCAGTCAGTGCTCTTAACCGCTGAGCCATCTCTCCAGCCCCTTTCTGTCTGTTTTTACATCCACCTTGTGCCACCCTTTGCGTTTGTAAGTGGATGGTACTGTGGTGTCTAAAATTTTAATGTAATGAACATGATTTCACTTTGTTGAAACCCCTATACCCATTATAGTGCCTTGTATGTATTAGCATCTTAAATACATATGAAAGCTATGAAAGCAATAGTTTTTAGTGCTAAAGTTTTGTCCTGTTTGAAAATTCAAAGCCTAGAAATCATTCAGAGTCAAATGTAGTTGCAAATTCTGGCTACCAAAAAACCAATAAAAGTTGATGTAGCTTGTAATCATGAAAATATTCTTTGAAATTTGCTAAGAAAGGAAAAAAATACCTATTTTATTTTAATTAGTATTTTAAAAATAGTGCATTAAATTAACTAATTTTAGAGGATATTTGATGTGACATGTTTTGGTTTCGTGGGTGCATGTTCAAATATATCAAATTATATGCTGTGTAGTTTTTGTTTATCAAGTGTATCTTAATGAAGCTATTTAATCCACTCTTTTTAGAGGCAATATATTCTTGATACTTGTCTTTCTTTAAATGGATTTGATTTGATTTTTCTGTGTTTTTGGGTTTAGTTTTTATCCTTTCTCGACACGTTGTTTTCTATTTTCTTATTTTGTTTTCTAGTATTTCCATTCTTGAGTTTTTCCTTTATATCAATAGCATATTTTAAATTACTTTAGTTCTTCTTATATTGCTCCGGTGCTCTTGAGGAGAAAAATTTGTGGAATTATGTGTGTTTAATAGAGCCAGTTTTTGGCAGAGCACTCAGGTCTCCTGTGATGGAGATCAGTACTTCTTACTCAGGTTTTAGGGCTCTGATAATATTGTGGCTATAAAGTAAAAAGCTTAGTGGATATTGAAACATAGATTAGCATTTTTGTAATTTATATTTATGATTTATGCGTTTTGGAAAGTACATTTTCATGGGATATCTTCAAAGAGAATATCCTGATGTTGGTCCTTTTGTATAAAATCCTGACTGTATATTTGCCTTAGTCATATATTGAAGTAAATTTTATTTTGTTTTTGACACATGATCTTCTATACCTTAGGGTGACCTGAGGCTGGCTATTGAGCTCTGACTGCCCTTAGGCCACTGATCGTCCACTCTCTACTTCCTGAGTATGGGGATTGCCTGCATATGTAACCAACCATGGCTGACCAAAATAACTTTAATTGATGCATAAAATGTGTTGCCATATTTAAAATGCAGTTTTTAATTTCTACTTTCTTTAACCCCTGTACTTCTTACTTTTCTAAAGTTACCAGGCAGTGACATTGCCAGTGGAAGTGATGTACTTTCTGACGTCATACCCAGTATCCCCAGTTCACCTTGCCTGCTTCCTAAAAAGAAGAACAAGCATCGGAATCTCGATGAACTTGCTTGGAGTGTGATGACAAATGATGAGCAGGTAAACATGTTGGCATTCTTCATTCAAAGTGTATGTGGAATAAAGCTTATGTGTAGAGCAGATGTGAAGCCTCCTTTATTTACCTCTTTGTAGCCCCCAAATTGTGTGAAGTCTGAAATTGAGTTTTAACTTTTTCTAGGAAGCAAGTGAAATCAGGACATCTTAGCAACGATCATAAGAAATGATCACCTTTCCTATTCAGACAGTGGTTGGTGCTTCACTGGAGCCTTGGGCAAAATAATTCTTCTAATGTCTAAATTGTGTTATAATTCACATAGTAAAAGTCAGTTATTCACACTGATATTGTTTGTTGTTATTTTTCTTCACATAGGTGGAATATATTGAGTATCTGAGCCGTAAAGTCAGTACTGAGATGGGCCTTCGGGAGCAACTTGATATTATTAAGATCATTGATCCTTCTGCTCAGATCTCCCCTACTGACAGTGAGTTCATTATTGAACTTAACTGTCTCACAGATGAAAAACTGAAGCAGGTATGAAAAGTAGATGTACATTGTTTATCTACTGAAGATGCCACCATGTTATGAAGTGTAGGCCTATGTAATCATGTGCATACTCGTCATTATCAAGACTAAAATCACTGCTGTGAGATGTAACATTAGGAAGCACTGGGGCTGAGCTAAGAGTTGGAGCTCAGGGCTAGAGGATAACATGTACAAAGCCCTGAATTCAGTCCCCAGGACTGCAAAGAAGGGAAAAAATGACCTGGAGTAGCAGCACATGCCTGTAATCATAGCACTTGGGATGTAGAGTTAGGAGGACAGAAGTTCAGGGTCATCTATGATTTGTTAAAGACTTGAAGGCCAGCCTGGAATACCTGAGATCCTGAATGTCTCAAAGCCAAAACAAAAACTGAAACCTCCAAGTCCCTACTTAAGAAGAGTTTTATGTGGCCAGGCATGTGTGCCGAGGGATTTGAGTGGTCTTGTGGAATAACAGCCTGTGCAGAGTGACATCTGAGGAACTTTTCCTCCAGTGTATTACTCTGTACGTTTACGATCCCTTCTAAATAACAGTTGTGCTGTACCTTTTCTCTGGTACATGCTTTAATAGAAAGGCTTTGAATTCTCTGCTTCTGGTGTCTTACATTTGGCATTTGAAAATTCTCATTTCTCAAAACGAAATATCTTTCCCCGTTTCTGCTAGTTTCTTTAGTGTGGTAAGTTGATGTGTTGCATTTAAAACTGGGTGTCATTGTCCCCCTCAAAAAATGTAGGGGGAAATGCACACAAGTCAGAAATGGATTCATTAATATGCTTACCTCATTTTTAGTGTAACCACGTTTGTTTGATTTTGTTGTTTCTCTTTCAGTGTTCTTTTCTTAAAATTCAAATTCTAAAGGCCAATAGAATTTGCTAAGTAATTTTTATATTTTTAAAATATAGGTCTATGTGTTTGCTGGAGTTTTGACCCCTGCTGGTTTTGTGGTCATCCTTCCTCCCTTCCCTTCCCTTCCCTTCCCTCCCCTCCCCTCCCCTCCCCTCCCCTCCCCTCCCCTCCCCTCCCTTCCCTTCCCTTCCCTTCCCTCTCTTCCTTTCCTTCATGCTGTTCCTGCCCCTCTCTTGAGTATTGTTTTGAAACAGTTCTTTTCTATAGTCCAGACTGGCTTAGAATGCAGTATTAAGCTCAGGCTCTGCAGAACTAGTTGCAACCCTCCTGCCTCAGCCTAGAGAACTAGATACACCTAGTGCTAGAACTAATACACCTGACTTGGTATTCATTTCTATATTTGGGTGTTTCTTATTAGCTTCTATTCTGCCTCTTTTATGCATCTGAGCATCATTCAGATTGAACACACTGTGAGGTTTTTCCCTCCAGCATCTTGAAGGTGGAATATCAAGGTGCAATACTTACCAGTGCTTGTCCATGTGTCCTAAGGTCAGAAACTATATCAAGGAGCATAGCCCTCGTCAGCGGCCTACAAGGGAGGCCTGGAAGAGAAGCAACTTTAGCTGTGCAAGCACCAGTGGCGTGAGCGGTGCCAGTGCCAGCGCCAGCAGCAGCAGTGCCAGCATGGTCAGTTCTGCAAGCAGCAGTGCGTCCAGTGTTGGAAACTCTGCTTCAAACTCCAGTGCCAACATGAGTCGAGCACACAGCGACAGCAACCTGTCTGCAAGTGCAGCAGAGCGGATTCGGGATTCAAAAGTAAAATGTCTATTCAATACAAAACTTTACCTTTCAGTGTTAGCATTAGGACGCTTTCGCTTCAATCTCTTGCAAACTAAAAATTGCTCCACTCTCTGGATGCCCGTGGGTCTTGGTTTTGATTGAACAAGCAGAGTGCTCCACTGTTGAAGAAAGCTTGAGTGCTTTCAGATACGCTTCACCCACTACCAGGCCGCCTTCAGTCTTTCAGTTTTTATCTTCCCTTTCAGTAAGAAATACTAGAAATATTAAAATAACAGCTTATTCTCAAGATTGCAACTCACTACTGAGTGAATCTCACTATGTTGCTAATGTTGCCATTTATTAGCTTCTAAAATTGTCATGTATGTCTTCGGTGTGTGTTTGTTTATGCGTGTGTGTGTGTGTGTGTATTTTCTTGATGTTTTAACCTTAACTGTTCCTTGACTAAGTAAAAAGTAACACTTTCTGTAATCTAGTTCTATTCTTTTTTTTTAAATATTTATTTATTGATTTGTTATATATAGTCTATCTGTGTTGTGTATATGCCCGCAGGCCAGAAGAGGGCACCAGATCTTACTATAGATGGTTGTGAGCCACCATGTGGTTGCTGGAAACTGAACTCAGGACCCTCGGAAGAGCAGGCAATGCTCTTAACCACTGAGCCATCTCTCCAGCCCTCTAGTTCTATTCTTTTATTGTTGAAACTTACTGTTGGGCACTTGTAAAAGAAAGTAGAAGTACATATGGAATGGTTATGTGGCTCAGCGTGGACATATGTATGGTTCTTTGCAGTGGCACAGAGTAGAGCCCATTTAAAGATGAGAGAATCTCTTTAACTCTTTGGAAATCCAGTGATCAGAAGATACACAGTGATTCCTTCCCGTTTTGTTTTGCTTGTTTTTGTCAAAGTAGAAGAAACAGCCATCTTTGGTGGTTACCAAGGGATTTCACTGAATACGTGGTTATTCTTTTTTTGTTATTAGTTTACCAGTGATGAGGATTCAGGTTTCCTAACAGGCTTTTAAGATAGCATTTGCCTGATATTAGGAAAGCATGATTCCTTCGTAGCCATTGGGAGATTTTTAGTATTCTGGGGTAAAGTGTACCTTGAAAACGTTAAGTATTATTGATTTGGACAATGTTTTCTGCATTTTATATCCAGTATTGTACTCTAACATTTTGTTTTTGCTGTGATGATGCCATTTTACCCTAATTGAATTTTAAAAATATAAATTCTTGACAGTATTTTGTTGTCCATAGCTAGCTCAAACAATAAAGAATCAGCCCTTGCTAGCCACAAAAATCACTAGTCAGATGCAATAAAAATAGAATCTTTTTTTTTTACGTCTAAGCTGGTGAATTACTTGTTGGTATAAGAATCACTCTGCAGAGAAACTTGAGCAGCTCCTAAAATGTGGAAAATAGAGAATTTGAGCCACATAACCCTGGGCTGCATACAACAGTGTCTACACCTTACTGACTTTGTACTTTTCACTTTGACAGAAGCGATCCAAGCAGCGAAAGCTACAGCAGAAGGCCTTCCGCAAGAGGCAGCTGAAGGAGCAGAGGCAGGCTCGGAAGGAGAGGCTCAGTGGGCTCTTCCTCAATGAAGAGGTGCTGTCCTTGAAAGTGACTGAGGAAGACCACGAAGCAGATGTTGATGTTTTAATGTAATAGGGTAAATCTATCAGCAGTCTTCTTAGCATTGTTCTGTTCTCATTGGCTTACATGCATCTTGACCAGAAGTTTGGTTAGGGTTGTGCTGATGTACCATTAATCATTTAGGCCAGTGGTTAGCAGAGGGCAGTCCCAGTACCTGCAGCTTCAGCATCACCCGAAAAGATGTTAGAATTGCATTTGAGCCCCATTCCAGACCCATAGGCCGTGTGGATTTGGGGCAGCACTGTGTTTTAACCAATGCCAGATTATTCTCATGCACATTCTGATTTAAGAACCACTGGTAAATGTCTTAACTATTTTAACTTTGTGGTGATTAAGTGGACTTTTCAAAGACTAGTACAACATTTGCAGTTTTGGGGATGTCAATGTATAGATGACAGGTAGTTTGTTACTATGTGTAACATCTGTAATTCAGTTCCCTTCTTAATGATAACATTTCTTAGTTTAATTTTTCAAGAGGGCCATAATATAATTATCAGTTCCTAGGGGCAAATCTCCTTTAGGTGAGGGTGCGCATAAGTCATGCATTGCTGTTTACAATAGTGCCTTCATTAGGTTTAGTTCTGATTTCATTAATTATTAATACAAAGGTATAAGCAAAGGCCCTAATCTTTTTCAGTTATATGTGGGGTTTTTTTTGTCTTTCTATACTTTATGTCAAGTGAGAATCACTTCTGCAAGTAATAACTACTGAGAAAATAATGGCTACACTAGCAAAATTTTAGACTTAATGCCTTATTGATTAATTTTCAAATGGAGATTCCAACTAAGCAGTGGTAGCATATCAAACTTTCCCATTGCATCCTTACATTTTAGGCTGTCAGATAATCTCCAAACTGGATCATTTATCTATCAGAAAACACCCAAATTTTTATGCAGAACATCTCCAATGTTATACATTTCATTTGCCAGCTTGCAGGCATGTGAACAGGCTAATGTTCCTTAACTGCGAAACCACTTAGAGTTCTACCAACCTTCAGAAAGCGCTGTGAGTGGAGTATAGAAAGCACCTTTGTGGGTTCCTGATAGGACTCCAAGTCTAAATGTGAAATCATGGAGTTTCTTTAATGGTTTCAAAGAATTCATGATCATGAACTTAGAAATAGTCTGATTCCTTTACCACATGTGTTAGGGCATTCACGTGGGCTAGAGAAGATGGAAACAGAGACTGACAGGTGACTTGCTTTCTGACTTTCATTTTTATGACAGCATTTGGAAGGCAAGCTGATTGTGTAATCCATGTTTCGAAAAGACTGCAGAGTTCAGAGGTTGATAGGCTCTCAACAGTATTTAAGTTTAGTTCTTCAAAAAGATTGACAACTTAAATTTCCTTCATTTTCAGTTGGTATAAGGGCTTAAATTTGAATAAATTAAAGGTGAAGATTTAATCCTGGTGTGTTAGAACACACTTTTAATCCAAGCATTCAGGAAGCTGAGCTGGGATAACAAGTTCAAAGCCAGCCTGGGCTGCATAGTGCTACTGAAATTTTGTATACCTTTAAAAGTTTTATTTTGCTTCCTTGAAGGCTAACGAATTGAAACTGAGAGGAAAGACTCGTGCTTTGCAGCATTGCTGAGCTCTGTGCTCCGGCCTCCTCAAGTGAAAGGATGGCTGTGTGCTTTCAGCTCGAGAAAGAGTTGTGATTTTTCTCCCGTCTCCTTCGGTACTCCAGGTTAGTTTAGAGAGACCGAAGAGATCTCAGGGTCAGACCCTAGAATAATTGAGGAAACGTGTGCTCTGTTTTCCCTTCCAAGCACAGAAATAGAACAGAGAAGAGAAGCAAATGCATCTAAGCTGGCTGCCTTCCCTTAGTAGCAAAGTCGCATGGAGGAGTTTCTGCGTGCTCTTCCTGTCCTCTAAGGAAGATGGGTAACCCTGAGATGCAGAGCAGCGTTTATCCGTCACACAGTTGCCAACTGTTGATTTGAGGAAAATGCAAAGCTGGTTCAGGTTATAATTTTAAGACCAATTTCTCTATCCTCCCAAGAATCATGTGTCCTCTTAACTTAGATTTAACTTAAGTCACTATTGAATAAGTTTACCAAAGTGCCATTGGCAGATTTTTAATGTCTATAAAAGTTTGCATATTTATAGAAATATGTCATAAAATTTTGTGTGAGTCTATTCACTTTATACATTAGAACCAGAATATAAACTCTATTTGGAGGAGATTGAAAATACTACTTTCATTTAAAAGCAAAAAGTGGAACTCTTGGACTTGTTTATGATTTAAGAGATAGAGATTAAAGTCTTTCTCTTTCCTTCCAAAATAGAAGCTATATCACAAAAGGCTGTTATCTGTCAGGACGTTTCATGTGGCTAACTGAGAGAGAATTGTTGGAATGGGTGGTGATTTATTAAATCTGCTATCTCTGTAGGGTATATTTAAAACAAATTCAAGTCAGGATCTCTTCTTTCATTTTCAATGGAAAGCCTACATAATCAGTTAATTAAAAGGCAAATCAGGGAAATGCAAATCCAAACTGATGAGAGTCTATCTCATTCCAGTCAGAACAGATATCATCCAGGAAACCAAAAGCAAATAGTGGTGAGAGTAGAGGCCGGGGTGGGGGGAGGTAGGAAGGAATCTGTATATGCTGCTGGTGAGAATACAGAACTGCTGTACCAGTCAGTGGAAATCAATATGGAAGTTCTTTTTTTAAAAAAAAAATTACAAGTAGAACTAAATTATCCAGCTGTACCATTCCCGAGTGTGCTCAAAATAAATGAACTCAGCATATGGCAGGAATACTTCTATTTCCATGTTTCTCGCAGTATTGTTACCAATAACCAATAAATAGATTCTTATCGGCAGATGAATAAAGAAAATGTGGCACATACACAGAGCATAGTTGTATTTAGCCATAAAGAAGACTGCAATGATGTCATTTGCAAGAAAACCGATAGAACTAGATGGAGATCGTCACGTTAAACAAAGTAAGGCAGACTCAGAAAGACAAACATTGTGGGTTTTTTTTTTACATGTGAAATCTAGATTTAATAAAATGCAAATTAAGAAATTAGAAGGGGACACTATTTGGGAAGGGGAACGGATCTAGTAAAAAAGGAATGGGGGGGCAAAAGATGGTAGTTAAATATGATCAAAGTAGATTATAAATATGTATGGATAAATTGGTGAATGAATGAGAAGTCTCGAATTTGCTCCAATGTTGGTTATCTTCTGTACAAAGCTGACGGTGGAGTGAATAAGTCTCCTCTTTACAGATTTATCTAGACTTTATTAGAGATCTTGGAAGACCATGTCAGTCCTTATTACTGCTTTTAAAAGTGCAAGCAGTGAGTTAAGCCAAATGGCATGTATTTTTATACAGTTTTGCAAATGATTAAAGGAAGGCAGTGTTCTAGAATGTAGTAGGTTGTAACGGGCTGGTTTATTCTGTCTTACCAAGAACATAGAGTAAAATGAAACTTTTTCTTCATTCTTTGGTAGATAGTGGCAGCTTTATTGAGTTCCTCTGTTTTGTGGGTAAGTTAGATATTGCTGAATTAAATCCCAAAAGCTGACTTATCAAATAATGACCCATAGTGTGCATAGACATCTCATTTTTTAGCTTTTTAAAAGTGGTAAATTCCCTCAAAAAGAAAAATTATAAGAAATTATTATATAAAGGTATCCAGATTTTGATGATCTTTAAAAATTGTAAAATTTATTGTATATCTTCATATTTAAGCCAAAAATGTTACTACATAAACTCTCTAGTAGTCTTGTTTGTTCTGGGTTCTCGTAGCAGACTTTTTTTTTTCATGGCTTCTCTGTAGCCTCATGTGCCTTAAAGGTGGTGAACTTTGACATTTTCATCAATATCAGGCTTTTCCAAACTCAAATATCAGAATGTTATAATTTGGTTCATGTAATGCTCATGGTGTTTGGATATTAGTAAACAAAACTTACCAATAGTAGTAGTCATAGAGTATCAAATGAGATTAAAAAAACCTTCAGATCTTAGACACGATTGCATAAAACTAGTTTTGATCCACAAGATTATTGAAGAGCCTTGCATTTATGTAAAGTTTTAATTAATGTATTGTTTTTTTCCACGGGAGAAAAATGTCTGAGGCCAGGATACTTTTTCTTTCTGAGACAGGACTCCCTATATACATCAGGCTAGCCTTGAACTTGCTATGTCGTCCAGGCTGCTCTGGAACTCTTGATGCTTTCCCCTTAGCTTCTCTGGGTTTTGGGATGCAGACATGTCTGGGGAGTGTACCTTTTTAAACTAGCTAACATATATCATGAAAGAATTTTTAGGGTCTAGACAAAAACTCTTCTAGAACCAAGATTTTAGAGCACGGTGTTTCTTCTTTTAATGTTAGGGATTCATTGAGTCCCTCTGTATATTCATCAGGTCACCCTGTCCTCTATCCTTTTTAACAAATTACCTCTTAGCGCCCTGTCTTTAAGAATTCTTCTTTGGAATTGATGGAGGGTGAAGTCAGTTTGACTTAGCTGATAGTATAGTTCTTTTGTGTTCAATAGTAGTGTGGATGTTGAATTCGTTGACATTCAACATATTTAAGTGAGAGGTAAATTGCGTCTTGAAAGGGACTTTTAGGAAATAAATATTTGAGTAAAAATCTAGTATGGTAACTTTGCAGTAGTTTTAAACTTAATAAAGTGGAATAAATTTTATCTTAAAACTGAACATTATTAAATGTGTAAGACCTCTCGGGTATTTTTAGCTAGGCATTTCTGTCAGAGTAGTATTTGGAACACAATCCTTGGAATATTTAAATTTGGTCTCTGAAAAATAATTTCCATCCTCTGTGAGGCTTAGCGGGAAGTCTGACATTTCTTATACTGGATATTAAGAGTAAGGCAGTTGCATGGCATAGCTCAAGGTCCAAATTGGCTCACTATGATTTAATTTCCATTTCTTAAATACTAAATTTGTTTACAGCTCCCTATCCAATTATTTTTTGAATTGAGGTTATTGATGTTTTAACCTAGACCAGACAATGGCAAATTGCATTTTAATTTGACATTCATGCCAAACTCAGAAAAACCAGTGTGGTCTTCGCTGATTTCAGTATATAGTAGTTTTTCTTTATTGTCAGATTTCTTCTGTTACATCTTTGTGGTGAATGGAACCTGTGGAGATATGTGTTCTTTTTTTTGGTGATGTATGGGGTGGAAAAGGGAAGAATTGCTTAATTAATA